TCGGCATGAGCTTGCCTATATAAATGAGTTGCCATCTATAACATGTCTACACATGTAAAAGTGATGCTTGTGTGTGACAATAACCAATGATGCTGGGTGTCTATAGCCTCACTTGAGAAGTTGGATGGAGGGTTGTATATTTGGTGTTAGGACAATTCTCAGGTAGTTCCTTAGCAGCTGTAGCACCATTCCCTTCTACTCCATCCCCATAAAAGGCTTTTCCTCCATGGCTTGAACCAACTAGTTTAAGATCATATCAAATATAGTCTTCTATCTCTCCAAAGAAGAAGTTCAGGCCCACATCCACGTTAGCTCACACCAATAAGGAATTGCTTCTCTTATCTCCCTAAAAGGTAGACTTTGCCTAGTTGCCGCATGCTAGAAAATAAACTCATTTGCCTCGGTTGTTTTTGGTGACCACCATTTTTTTTTTTGTAAAAAGAATTAAAAAACATCACAATGCAAGGGAGTATAATTAGTCATTTTTGGTTAGCAGCCCAGGAAGGGCAAGCCACACTTGTTTCTCTTCCTCTTCCTGAGGGGCCTGTGGTGGTGGGGGGGTGTGTTTGGGGGAGAAAGCAGGCAGTGAGAGTTCAGACTGTTAATGGGGGGCTGCTCTCCCACCAGCGATGGAACAGTGGAAGAGAAAATCGTCAGAGATTTAGTGTGTACATGACTCACCAGCCCCTGTTCAATGGCTTCGCTGGTTACCAACAGCAACTTTGTCATCTCCATTACTCATGGTGCTACAGCCCACTCAGACTCTTAAAAAGTACAGGAGCTACAGAGGACATGAGGATAGGACAAATCATACCACCCTGACCTCTGAGGCCCCAGAAATGATCTCCCCTCTCCCTCTTTGCCTCGTGAGTTCCTACTCAGCCTCTAAAGCCCAGTTTAGAGGCTTCCTCCAAAATGAAATCTCCCCATCTTCTTTCTATCTGAGGAGCAAAACAAGGCAAAGATGTCTTGGCTCTCTGAAGTCTAGGTAAGAAAACTCATCAGTTGCAATAGGAATTTCTGTGGTCCTTAGTCCATCACTAACTGTCAAGCTGGATGAGGCTGCCTTATTTACAGAAATGTTTTATGTTGAGAAAAACAATGCCCTCAATCCATGTTTAAATATATAGTCTATTATAAAAATTGGTATTTATAGAACCTAAATCAGAGCTTAAGGTTACTGAATGCTCCCTTAACATTAAATATCTAGTAGAATTATCCTCAACCAGAGAAAGATGACAGGATAGGAGGAAGAGTGTCATTAAATGACCCTTCCATTCAGTAAGCATAATTTAGAAGTCACAGAGATAAAAGGACAATTAAAACACCAGACAAAAGAAGGAAGAAGGAGGAAGAAGAAAGCTATATATTTCTAGAACTTATGAGTATTCATGGAGAAAAGGAAAGGAAAAAAAAGGTTCAGAATATGATGAGAAAGAAGCTGCTTAACTTTGTGACACCAGATTTTTAAAAAGTAACAACAATAATTTAAGATACAAAGACTATACCACAAAATATAATCTTTGTCCACATTATTAAAACCCACAAAATGTTTATGTATCTATGACAATGTTTCCAAAATCAAATTACGTTATCTACTCTATGCAGACAGAATAAATAAGGATTTTTGGCAAGTGGCCCATAACCTTTCATCTTTTCTAGTTGAATGTACAAATGTACAAACAGAATGTACAAAGTTTTGTTGTTATTGTTTTTTTCATCAGTAAACTATGTCTGGCTTATGAATCAAGTCCTCACTCCTACTCCTCCTTTTGCTACAACATTTTTGTAAAGCTGGAGAAACTTACTGTGTTAAATCAACTACTCCATAATGTAAATAGAAAGAAAGAAAAACCACACGCTTTTGTCAAATATGTAGGCTGTTCTCTGGTTTAAAAGAACAGCAATAACAATAGCCAGTACCTCTATGGTTTTACTGAAATGATTGTGATTGAATCAATTACTTTAATAGCTTTGAACAAAAACCTCAATGGAATTTTAAACTCCCACTTTTTAATCAGCAAGAGTTTGTAATTATAAAACCACTCTAACTATGGAGTCAGAGGGGATGTTTTTGCAAGAGTTAAGGACCACAGAGCCAGGTCTATACATAATTGTTTTAAGCAGGCACCATCAATTTGTACCTGAGTCACTCATCCATTTTTGTCTTATTTTTAAACTGATGCATGAAAGCTAAAGAACGTAACCTTTATAATGGGACATGCCACTGTAGTTTTAGTTTTGGTATATTCCCAAGAAGTCCTAGGGGATTAAGTGGTAAGTTATTGTTATGCAGAGGTTCACAATTAGATGTTGTGCCTGACTCTGCAAAAAACTGAATTCAAAATAGATCTAAAGTTTCATAGATTTAACTGTAGAACTTTTTCTCAACATAAGGATTTCATGATATCCTTACCTTTCTGGTAAATACTCTGTCCAAATACTCTGGACTCTAAGTCATGAACTTGTACAGATAAATATAGATAATTGTATTTCAATGTAATTGGTTTCCTTTGTAATTCCATGTATTTTATTTCATGCATTTAAAAAATTTTCCTGAGAAGGGGTCCATAGGCTTCACCAGACTTCCAAAGGGGTTGATGGCATAAAAAAGATTAAGAACCTCTTGCTCTAGACAAACTAGAGTCCTTTCTGTCCCATTACCATTCTTTGTGTTCTCTTGGCCCCATGCCATTCCTCCATTCCATTCCCTATGCTTTGAATGACTTCTCTCCCTCTTTGCCTTCTGAATTCTTACCCATCCTGTACAACCCAATTTAGATGTAACCTCTTCCCTAAAGCCTTCCTTGATCCATCTCTTCAGTAAGAAAGTGATCTTATATACACCCAACTTCATATAGCACTTTGTTTTAAAAGTCTCTAATGCACTTATTATAGAAATTAAATCATCAATGTTTTGAGTATTATTCCTCCATTAAACTCTAATATTTAGATTCTAGTAATCTCTACATGTACAGGAGCCAACTTTTATCTAAACTTTGCATCTCCTACAGCCTTAAGAATAGGGTTCTACAACAGACTAAGCAATTAATAAATGTTCGTTGAATGAATGAATGACTTTAAATGGGTTAAACTAAGACTTTAATAAAGGACTTTAATTGGATAAAATAAGAAAGATTAGAGGAAACTTTTCTATTGTTTTTGAGTAACGCTTAATGTTAAATATCTGAGCATCAAGTTCTCATTGGATCCTTTCTGATTCTGTGATTCCAATATATTATGGATGGGAGATAAGGGGGTTGGGTGACTGGTCAACATGCATATGCAATTGGGGTAGAAGCAATGGTCCAAGACAACTCACTAATTTCCCTTTAAAGGGACTGTGCTGATCACTGATAGCTACCTCTCTGTGGAGAGAGAACCAGCTAGCTTTGTTCCAGGAGTAAAGAAGTAGAGATAAGAAGAAAAAACAACAAGAAAATATGAGGCAATTGAGATACAGGACAACTACTGGGATGCCTGAAGCATCCTGTTTCCTGTTTGCTCATGTAACTATAAGCAGGAAAGGTAAATCAGGTTTCTTTTTTTGTTTGTTTATGTTTTGTTTTTTGCTAGGCAATGGCGTTAAGTGATTTGCCCAGGGTCACATGGCTAGTAAGTGTCAAGTGTCTGAGGCCACATTGGAACTCAGATCCTCCTGACTCCTGGGCCAGTGGATAGACACTGCGCCACCTAGCTGACCCTAAACCAAGTTTCTACAGTGCTGAGTTAATCATACGTTCTGTTTCAGTTTTATTGGGATCGTGGATAATTGTGAATAGATATTGATCCCTACCGGCCTGTGACCAAGGGCTCAGACTGCTCATTCAAGACATAAGGAATAGACATAGTTTTGACGACACAAATAGCATCCCACAAAGGGTTTCTGATTTAGGGAGAGTCTAGGTCCAGGAATCAAATGGAATGTACCATTGATGTCAATGCTACATGTTTCCACTTTTTATTCCACTTGGCTCATCGCCAAGGACACACATGTGAATTGATCATTATAAGTGAATCCAGACTCCTAGATTTAGACAATCATAAGATCATGGATCTAGATCTCAAAGGGATGTCCAAGGTCATATAGTCCAATACAATTATTTTTATAGATGAAAAGAAATTTTGAAAACTGAGGCCCAGGAAGGTTAAATGTCTTTTATAGAGGTTACCCGGATAGCAAATAGCAAAAATGGGATTTGAACTCAGGTTGAAATATTAAACTGGGCACTTATTCACTCAGGAACTGAGATAAAAGGGTGATTGACAGAGAGAAATAGGCAGACTGGCAGTGACATCACCCCCCCACCCCCCTGTGTTGGCTAGCCTACATTACACTATGTTGGAAATAACAGAAAGTAATTGCCTAGGATACTTTTATGTATGTGTATAATGCATGCATATGTGTGTGTATATATGTATGCATGTATATATGTGTATATATGTATGTATGCACATGTATATATAATTTATGTATAGATATCTTTATGAATGTATGCATGTTAGATATTTAAATAATTATGATTACATAATATATATTCATATACATATGATTAAACATTGCTTTTCCCCTAATATATTAACCATTATCTGAATTAACCATTAAGATTCCAAAAAGGAGAAGCAAATTGAACCAGATCAGAAAAAATTACTTATGGATGTAGTATATTAAAGATAATAAATTCTACATAGCTAGGCAATACTATCAAGGTCACTTTTTAAATCTTAGAGCAGAGAGCAAGATCAGAAGCAAAGGGAGGAATTAAGTTGAATTGATACTTATTCTAAGTAAAGTCTTTCCATCAGTGAATATTCTTGGACCATGGGATTTTGCAGTAGAGGCACTGGTAGGCGGTAGAATTGAATAAGCAGTTCTAGACATTACTCACTTGAACTCCTCTGACACCAGTACCTCAAAGAGAAGTTTCCTTCAGTCACTTTACTAAGTATTTAAAAGTATCTTGCACATTCCTGAACAATGAAGCAAATCAAAGGATTACCTGGAAATCTTCTAATGATTTGGCATAATCCTTCCTTGCTGCAAAGCTGATGCTGTATTTCTGGGAGTATATTTACCTGAAAGTAATAAAAGACCAGTGACTTTATAGTAGGTTTATAATACTGAAGCCAAAGTGAAAGCATTTCTTGGAGCCCTGGATGAATGCATATGAAAAATGAGCATTTTCTTCCCATCTTCCCACCTACTGATCACCAGCACATAAATCAAAACATTTAGTTAATACATTAAAACAGAAGAAAAAAAGTGATTGCTCACTGTGATCCAATCCTATCTGAAGCATTAGGTACAGTCTAAAATAACCAACCAGCTAACCCCAAAACAAAACAAAACAAAAAAACCCCAAAACCAAAAACCTAATCTCAAAAATCAACACTAAGCATTTCAAAATTGTAAATAAAAGAAAATACCTATAGTCCTATCTCAAATTCGGTAACAAGAATAACCTAGCACTTAGAAATTGTTTTGCAAAAAATAGCAACAAACATGACTCATAGCCAATAAAACCGCAAGATTCCCCAAGTCCTCTCTCATTTGTTCTCATGCACCTACTTAGGTCACAATTTTTAAAGTCTAGTATTAGACTACTTTGAATCAAAGTCCAATGAGAATTGCATGTGCTCTCATGTATAAGACTCAAGAGCAGGCCTCAGAGTCAATGATATAATCTCTCAGCCTGAAAAATGGCAGCCTTAGTAATGAGAAATGTGGCCAAAAGGTGAGAGTTACTAAGCATTAGTCTCCTATATAGAGAAGTGGGGATTTCCTGGGCAGCTCCAGCTCCAGTATTGTCTCTCTAGCAACCCCATGTCTGAGAATTCCAGAATTTGGTCTTCTAGAGAGAGAAGAGGGATTCCCTGGATGGCACTAGGCTTAGGACCTGAGTTCAAATCCAGTCTCAGACACACAACACACAATACTTACTAGCAAGTCACTTAACCCCGATTGCCTAGCAAAAAGAAAAAAAAAAAAAAGAGAGAGAGAGAGAGAGAGTCTGTCTTCAGGGTAGTACCTTAAACTGGATGGATACCTGTACCAATCTGTGGGTAAACACTAGACTCACTGAAATATTTGAGGTTGGCCCTCCAAGAAATTCCAAGTTTGTTTCCCTTCCAAAGTAAGTCCAAATCACAGGATGGTGTTATGAGTCTGGAGAACTGAATAGGCTTTAGTGGAAAGGTAGGGACTCACTGAAAAGGGGAATGATATCAACTCTTTCATGCTGTTGTGAATCCTTTGTATTGTTTTTGCATTTTTCATGAGTGGAGTAAAGACTATATATGAACTATCATCTTGAATGATGAAACATGATGAAAAACATGCAGGGGTCCATTTTGCCATTGAACCTGCCCTATCCAAGTAACTCACAGAAAGAAAAGAGGGCAAAGTTGTGGTCTTTTGCTCCCTGTCTTAAATCACTGCTTCGATTGTTTGCTATTAAAGGATGAGGGATAGGGGTGGGAAAGAGGGCAGAGCATATTCACAATGTTCTCCCTCTGTTCAAGAGACACAGCTGTCATGTCTTAGATGCCTATGTAAAATTGGGTCCAGAAACCTGGGAACCTCTCAGGCCACATGAATGAGAGTACATGCAATAGCCAAGTGTCTCTGCTCCAAAGCAGTCATTATTAGCTCCCAGAGAGGAAAACCCCCTAGGGATCCAAGTCTCTTCTTAGCTCTACTACTGTCTCTGCCGTTCTCTGAAAAGGGAAAATGAGCAAAAAGAACCCAGTAGTTAAATCAGTTCCCTTTTTTAAGGTCCTGCATGAAAGCATGGCACTGAGCCAATCAAGTTATCCTCAAATGCTTGACAACAGCTTCCACCTGCTTTCCAGATTGATGAGTCCCTGCTTAGGATTGTTGTTTCTTAAGGGGAACTGAACCAGGATACTCATTTCACTCCCAGCTGAACTAACTCTGCAGTATACTCTGCTTCCCCACCAACTTCCTTGTCCGCTACCCTCCCTCTCACCACCACCACTCTCCAGCTTCCCTTTATGCTTTGTCTTTAGAGCAGGGATTATATTGTTGTTGGCTTTTGTTGTTGTTGTTATATACCCAGCACTTAGCACTGTGCCTGGCACATAGCAAATGCTCAACAAATGCTCTTTCTATCATCTGTCAAATTATCAATTTATAGAATACTTATTTGATAGAATCAAAATTGCAAATAGTTTCATCAGCTTGTATTCTCATCCTATTATTGTTCAGGGAACTCTCCTAATCGGATCTCTACATTTAAATACATGGGGAAACATTACACACTTCATTACAGTTCCCAGTCTTTAGCAAAAGATGAAACATTTGTCCCTGACACTTTCAATTCATGAGAAGACCAGCTTCTACCTTGATTCCCTGGAAAGATTTCAAGACAAATGCATCTGAACGCTATTTTCTCAGGCAATCACAGTATTTTTTTTTTAAGTCCTACAGTAACCATAGCTTAACTTCAATCTCCTCTGTGATACTTATGTTAGATCACAAATCTGATTATTTTTACTTCTTCACATACATTAGAAGTTGGGAAACCTTTCTATCTTTCATATCAAAATCCAAAACATCTCTAAAAACAATTGTCAACAAAATTATCCTAGAAATACACTGCAGTGACTTAAAATCACAACTATTTAAAAGGTTCTTTGTTCCCAAAGTAACCAATAAGTCCATGTTTTTTTCTCTCCCCTAGTATTATGCTAGGGGATATTACAGGACAAAATAAAAATAGTTCCTCCCTTGAAGGAATTTACATTCTTTAAGAAAAAAACAACATATTTCCACATTAGTCATGAAAGAAGAATCAGAACAAAAGGAAAAAACCAATAGAAAGAAAAAAAGAAGAAAGAAAATAGTATGCTTTGATCTGCATTCAGACTCCATAGTTCTTTCTTTGGATGTGGATAGCATTTTCCATCTTCAATCTTTTGGAATTGTCTTAGATAATTGTATTGCTGAGAAGAGCTAAGTCTATCAAAGTTGATCATCGTACAATGTCGTTGTATAATGTTCTCCTGGTTCTGCTCACTTCACTCAGCATCAGTTCATATAAGTCTGTCCAGGTTTTTCTGAAATCTGTTTACTCACCATATCTTACAGCACAATAGTATTCCATTACATTCATATACCACAACTTGTTCAGCCATGCCCCAATTGATGGGCATCCCTTCAATCTCCAGTTCTTTGGCACCAAAAAAAGAGCTGCCATAAATATTTTGTATATGTGAATCCTTCTCCCTTTATTATTTCTTTGGGATACAGACCCGTAGAGCTATTGCTGCATCAAAGATTATGCACAGTTTTATAGCCCTTTGGGTATAGAGGAACTTGCATTCTACTAGGAAGAAACAATATGGTCCCTGAAAAATAGACAATGTATACAAAGTAAATAAAAAGTAATTGGGAGTGGGAGGAAAGGAAGGAGAATACCATTGGAGGATGAGAAAAGACCTCATGTAAGCAGTGGTGCTTCAGGTGAGGAGTCTAAGTGCCAAAGATGAGAAGGGAGAGCGTTCCACCCAAGGGGACACTCTATGAAAAATCACAAAGCCAGGAAATGGAATGTCATTTGCAGGAGACAAGTAAATAGTTTAGTATGGTAGTGATAGCAAATTCAAATAGAAATGGGGGCCACTAATCTGAACATAAGGATCTTTGGGTTGCATATTAACTTAGTTTTAAAATGTAATAGTACCTACATTTTATTGTATTTTTTTTTAATTTGGTAAATAGTTCCCAATTGCATTTTAATCTGGTTCTGGCTACACTTTGGAGTGTTTGATGTCTCTAATTAAGAGCATATGAAGGGAAGTAATTAGCATAGGGAGGCAGGTAGGGGCCAGATTGTGAAAGGCTTTAAATACCTCACTGAGGAGTTGGCATTTTATTATCTAGGCTATAGAGAATCATGGAAGCTTCTTAAGAAGGGGAGTGACATGGTCAAACCTGTGCTTGAAAAATGTCAGTGTGGCAGGTCCTGTGTGAGGATGGTATAAAGAGGGCAAGATTGAAGGCAAGGAAATCCTTTAGAGGGCTATTGCAATGCAGTAGTCTAAGCAAAAGGTGACAAAATCCTAAATTAGGGTGGTGGCCGTGTAAGTGTGGAGAAAGGGATGAACAGAAGTTGTGGACGTAGAAGAGATAAGACTTGGCAACTGATAGTGGGCTCAAATATCATTCCAACTGGCACAATTTCCAAACTAAATTTAATCAATCCACAGGGAAAGCTGAGTCATAAACCCCAAACATACTTACTCTCCTGAAACTGAGGAAAGGCTAAAGAGCTTACATAAGTGTGATATACTTAAGCTCCTAGTGGCAGTTACATTTCATGGAATTACAATTAAAGGAAAGAAACAAAGAAAGAAGGAACAAAGTGATAGGACACAGCAAAGCAGTGGAGAAGGTGGAAAGAAGAGAGCTGGATTAAGGAAAGTTGGGAGTTAGCTAGACTGATTCTCTTCTTAAATGGAAGGAAGCAAGGGTCCAGAGAGAGGTCAAATAATAAGCAGCTCAGGCAGGATTTGAACCCAGGCCCCAGTACTATCAAATATAACTTCCATTCAACTACCCCATGCTGGCTGTAGGGAAGGAAACTCTGAGAACTCTGATTTTAAAAATCTAAGTAGTCCCAAACAGGAATGAGAGGTAAATAGCAATAATAAATAATAATAAAATATGCTATATAAAATATAATAAAAAATAATAGAATAACTGCATAAACCCCTTTTTAAAAAATCTACAGCTGTGGTTGAATAAGTTGGAATGACCTTAGGCCAAAAAGTGAATGATTTTCACATATAAAGCAAAACAATATTCATCCCTATCGCTTGAAATAATCCGGGATCCCTAATAGAAGAATCGCAGGAAAAGGCTCCATATATAAGGCAAAGAAACTAATATTCATTGCAGCTGATTTAAACTCTGACACTTCTTAAAGCCCAGAGCAGGTGTGCTATACTAGCCACTGCTTTTGTCCTGAGAGGAAGGATTACAGTAATTGAGTTCAAAGGTCATAGGGACTTACATAGCCACTGCAGAGTTATCATGCGTTACAGATGAGTTC